GGAACAGTGTGTGGTGGAAGTGTGGTCGGGTGGTGTGTGTGTCCCATGGTGGGGACGGGGGGGGGGGTAGTAGTGTGTTTGGTTGGATGAGGTTTTTTGTTTTATGTTACAACTGATTTCATTTTTGTTTTCATCAATTGTACAATTTATGTAATGAAGACGTTTTGAATTCATGCCAAGGAAAAACAACTGTATTTTATTTCTAAAATTAATTTGTATTGTTTGGAATCAATAAAAAAAAACCAATGAAAAAAGGGGGAAGGGGGCCCTCGAATCAAAGTAATCGTGAAAAGTGTAAAGAATAGCATATGAGGGCATGATTTGTACTCAATTTAAACTGATTAGTAAAGTTGCAATTCCAATCAGCTCTATTCCTACCGAAAATTACGCTCCATAGGCCAAACGAAATATAAAAAGAAAAGATTATATAAAGATATAGACGGATCGATTAGTGCTTTCTCACTGGACCCATTCGCTCGCCACAGAATAGAAACGACCTGTAAAAACACAATGTTTAAAAGATGAGCTCACCTTGTTTCCCGAACCTTGCAATGGCGGTACGGCCCATAATTCTTCTTGAGGTGAATTTTCTACGACGCCTTCCACAACCGTTTTAGATTGATTTTCTTCAAGAGAAAAGGTAAAGAAATGCGATTTAAACGTTGTAATCAAACAAATATGTCGATTGAAGTCGATTTAAGGGGGAATTCCACCCGATGTTAAATTGCTCTTAATACAAGCAGAAAATGGGATAAACAAATAAGTGAAAATTTGAGCAACATCCGATTACTAACAATTAGGAAAGTTATCAATGTTTCTCTAGTTTTCTGCTTCTATTAGAACCAACTTAATGTCAGGATGAACTTCCCATTTATTAAAAGTCTTTGAAACAAACAATGATATCATGTAGGTAAATTGCTATTAGAAGTGCCGTTGTCATTTGTGAGTGCAAAAAATCGACTTGCACCAAAGTTGCTAATTGAGTTTGAGTTTGAGTTTGAGTTTATTAACAACAAAAATAATAACAAGTAAAACATAATGTATCTAGCTTGATTACATAAAATATAACAATATGTTAGCACAAGTGCTAGTCGAGTCTGGTTCCCTGTCTTTGGCAAGAATTTTAAAACTTTTTATATATATATATATATTTTTTTTTACTATACTACATTATATACATGTAACATAAACTATATAAGTAAACAAAGAAATATAATATTCATTTAGAAATATTCCTTACTTAATATACATGGAAGTCAAATGTGTGTCGACTTCCGTATCAAAACCAAACATACAGTAAATAAAAAACATATCATTATCTAGTGATCTTTTTAGAAATTCTCTAATCTGAGATTTCTTTTTGCCATTTTAAGAAGTCTTAACTTTTGTTTAACTCAAAATATTTAGATGTTTCGTTAACACCTTCCGAAAAACATTTTTAGATCGTATTCCTCTTAAAATGTATGGTATACTATTCCATATTTTCACGCCCATAAATGATATTGAAAATTGACCTTGTGTGGTTTTGCATTTAGGCAGATATAGTTGTCCTTGTTCTTTGCCTCTTGTGCCATATCTGTGCTCTATTACCTGACAGTATTCAATTAAGGAGTGAGGAAGATTGCCATTTAATAAGTCATAGATGAAGGTTGAGACAGATGAAGGTTGTAAGTATCTAAACATTTTATCTTTTGGAACAAGGGTTCCGAATGGGGACCTCTTGGGATAAAAGTTATCGCTCTCATTGCCATTTTCTGGGTAAGGAAAATACAATTCAAGTTGGTTTTGTATGTGGTTCCCCATACTTCAATTCCATACAAAATATGTGGCTGGATTAACGCTTTAATAATAGCACTAAAATGTTCTGTGGGACATAATGCCTTATTCTGAACAAAATTCCGACTTTTGAACGAATATTTCGATTTACCAATTTGATATGTTCAATCCATGTGAGATGCTTATCAATTTGTAGTCCTACAAAAGATGCCTTATCTACTTCAAGTAATTTAGATCCGGATATTTCAAGAGCACCTTTTACTTGGACAGATCTCCTTTTGCCCTTTATTATCATATAATTTGATTTGCTTAGATTAATTGTGACTTTGTTGGCATAACACCACTGCTGGACCTTATTCAAATCCGTATTCACCTCATTCATATCAATATCTTTCTGACCAGTCTTAAAGGTATGGAACAAGTTTGAATCATCAGCAAATAACCTGAAGTTAATTTTTTTTGTAGAGTTTGGCAAATCATTTATATAAATGAGAAAAAGAGTTAGGCCGAGAACAGATCCTTGTGGAACACCGCATGATGTGGTGCTTGATCCGTTCAAATGTCAATAATTCACGCCAAGCCTTGTTGGTTGGGTGGTAATGCCTTTTGTTCGTGACTGTGTTTGATGGGGAGGGGGAGGGGGTGGACGATGTACCATTTAACGACCACAAAAAAGCGCAGAAAAACAAAAATTGCGCCTTGTTATAAAGTGACATACTGAAACCGAGCCACTCTGTGTTAAGATGGCTCTGAGTAACTTTCAGTGAGTTTCTTGGGTAGTAAATGTGATATTTGAAGAAAAAAAAAGGAAAACATCCCATAGAAATTCATAATGCTGTCTTTTATATGACTCCTCGTGCGTAAAAAGTTGATAATGTATATCTTAGAAAAAGTAAAATTAAAACATTCTTGATTTCTGCCCAAAATAAGAAGCAATTCAAGTTTCCTGACGTTGCAGCGGACGATGGACTCTATGTTTGGGTGAATTTATACAAACATGTGGAGTGGAGAGGAACATTACAAATGGTTTGGGTATGAACACAAAATGAACATTAAGCAAACCATAATAAGCTTGCCCGACAATGCAGCTGAACACATAATAAAGGGTGTTCTTGATAACGAAATGGGCTTGCTCCTCGCTCTTAAGAAAACATTTGCAGGAAGGAACGAGCCTCAATAACTACAAGGGTCAAATAGGAATTCCGAGGTCATCCGGAAGGACCCCCACATATTCGTAAAAAGAAACGTCGCCCATGTTGAATGAACTTGAACCCTTATGGACAATTGTTATCAGGTTATTGCCATTAAAGATAACGTAATACAGATCTTGATAAAACTCACTACGAAGTCCTAGCTTTGACATAAGCATCGAGTCCATTGTCAGCTTGTAGGTGTGGAGAGATGAATGGCTTTTTCTCAACTATCTACTCATTGGGCCAGAAATCAAGCATGCTTTTATTTTACTTGTTCCCTGGCATAATTAATTTGTTTCTCTTACGCGTGAGTCTTAGGATATTGGGGCGCATCTCATCCTGAACATTAGGATATCCGGTCACCTTGCTGCCAGAATACCGGAAAATTTAAAAACAAACAAAAAAGGCTCTGCAGGTCCCTAGCCTTTCCCCATGATTGAAGGAAGGGGGCCTATAAAAGAAAGTGAATTTCTTTTTCTGCGAATTTCTAAGTGAGATACGGTCAGACGGTACCAGTTTTTAAACGAAATATGCCTACCCTACTTAATTTCATTATAATATAAGTTTATCTTTCATCATTCTGGTTTATCCCGATTTGTCTAATATCACCATTGTCAAATTTCGCTTTCTGCATTACATCTGTAGGTTAACATTATTTAGTAAAATTATCGATTATTCCGATCATGATTTCGTCTGCTATCCGATTGATTTAATTTAAATTTTGTAAAACTTCCATTGCGTCTAATGACTATTAAGACTTCTATTCAAGAAGTATATTTGATGTAATTTTCAATGCAGATTAATGCTTAAATTCATATTCTCAGAAATTGCAGGTTAACAATATGTGCGATTGAAATATCAATTTGATCTGAAGCTCTAGTTCCTCGTCGTAGATAATCAATATAGAAACTTCAGTAAATAGGAACCACTTTACCTGCTGAGATAGTGCGAAGTGGTTGCAATCGCTCTTCTGAACTCCTAGCATCTGAATGGTGGCCATCAGGGCCAAGATCAGCAAACATTTTTTTTTCCCCTACACGCCCTGTTTCAACCCAGGAAGTGATTGCTTCTTTGGTGTATCCTGATTCTATAATATTGAAAATTCATGACTGATAAAATATATAGATTATAATGATTGAGTATAACATGGCTATTACATGTTTTCTTTTCTTAATTTGAAATAACGGATTCTGGGTGGTTTTTTGCCTTGTCGATACTTTTTTCTGTAAAGTTTGAGACATTACAATAAAAGATCACATACAAGACCCCTGTTATCTCATATATAATGGTTTGTCCACGCAACAGAATGTTGGCATGGGTACATGGAGAAAAGTTTAGCTACTTGACTCAGTAAATATTTATAAATTATTTTCCGGAAACAGTTTCCCAACCATGGTGAGGCAGGTTGACTCGATTACCTACTCCTTTTTTCTTTTTTCAAGGTTCACGCGGCTCACGGACATTAAATCTCAAGTATCGCTATTTACTTTGTATAACCATTTACATGCTAAAATATGAAGTTACATACCTTGAGAGTCGTGGAGCTCAGCGATCCCTGTTCGTCTGAAATGAGAATCGTTCTAGTTATATTGCTTTGCATTGAAAACTGTCTTTTGATATTATTTCGCACATTAAATAATCAGGTATACTCACAGGGTAAATTATTATACATGTACGGTACACAACAATATTATAAAAAGAGGAAAAGTTAGTTCCACTTCACTTCTTATCGACCAGGACTGTACTGCCAGATTTTTTAAAAGGTTTTTCAAGTCTTAATCAGCCATTTACCGAAAGGGGATGACATGACAATATTATAATTGCTGTTATAAAGATTGAAAATGACTAATATCCAAAACTAAACATGCTATATTACTAGGGTTTCTTTTTCGAGTAAAGCGTCATGTCAAATTGGGACGTTTATGAGGTGAAATCTTCAATGTTGTACGACAATTATCAGCATAACGAGTTCATATGTATCAGGAAAATTCATAACAGACATCGCTTGAAAACAAAATATAATCATTTTACTTTGGGACTGTGTGCCTAAGAGTTGATAAGGTTCGTATTTCTCTTTTCCATGATGTAGAGTGGCCCTCCGCTTCATCTGAAAAATATCAATAAATAATTACATCTTCTTACTTCATATACTACGCACTTGTTACATTTAAATGAAAACTGTTTAATTGTTAGTGAATAAAGCCATTTAGTCTTTAGTCTTGTAGTTGACTGCTTATGAATAAAAATACAGCTCTCGTGCTGATGAGGGTGTACCATCCTTCAAAAGGGAAATAAATAAATTAAGCAAGAAAGACGGATACCCCCTTGTGATTTTCACACAAAAGTTATAGCTCCTAAGAAAAGGCATAGTCCCTTTAGGTAGATTCATTGAAAATGTCGCGGTTCTACAATTATGGGGAGCTGCTTGTGAGGGGGGCAGGGGCGGATCCAGCCGGCGCAAGGGGAGGGGGAGAAGGTAATGGTTGCCCCTTGAAAATTGTGGCGGCCGATAATTCGCTCAGTGAGCACTATTCTGTTTTACCTTTTTTCCCAGGGGAGGGGGACCGGGCCCCCAGCCCCCTGGATCCGCCACTGGAGGGGGGGGGGGACCTATATCCCTAGGCTACCCGCCTTGTACACCAATTGGTATATCTTGTATGGTATCATTATTAGTGTCAAGTACATGTTTTTGGTGATATGTGTCAGGGCAGCTTACCATGTACCGGAAAGGAATCCTTTTCCTCTAGCCCCGTGCTGAAACCGAAAAAATATAATACACATAATTTAACAACGTGAATAGCATCAAACTTGATATTCCCCTGACATGAATTGTTATCGTTATGATACAAACCTTATCAAAGCATTTTTACACAGTGACTGCCAATTTTCGTCATAATAAAAATGGTTTGCAGCACAGTTTGCCAGTTATGGTCATGCGATTGCATTGTGAAAGAAACGTTGTGGAATCAATCAGAAAAGGTTGATCATTTAGAATTGGTGTGTACTGCAAGGTTCTGGAATTATCAAAATGATAAGAAATAAGGCCCAGTTAATAAAAATGGTTTGCAGCACAGTTTGCCAGTTATGGTCATGCGATTGCATTGTGAAAGAAACGTTGTGGAATCAATCAGAAAAGGTTGATCATTTAGAATTGGTGTGTACTGCAAGGTTCTGGAATTATCAAAATGATAAGAAATAAGGCCCAGTTTTGGTTAAGTTACAAGCACTGTACACATAAAGATGTGTATGCATGGGACTAAGCGACACGTGTGCGACCATCCGGTTCAAATAGATGTAATAATTTACCAAATATATCAATAAGTATGCGATTTCTCGGCAAAATTTGTATCATCACGTATGAGTCAAAACCTATTCTTTCACATGATTGGTAATAAGAGCTTCCATTTCATTTTTTGAGAGGGAGGCGTTTCTAAAACCGGTCTTACCTTTAAGAATGCTACATCCAGATATTTTTGTTTAAGGTTTAATGGATTTGTAACATAGAGTTAATCGAATGTTACGAATTATAAATCGAAAGGACGAAGTTCCACGGCAAATTATGGTAATAAAAGGGCATGCCCTTTTTACGTTCATAATTGACGTATTTTGATTTGCACCAACATTTTCAAATAGTCATAATTCTCAAATGCCGTTTTATATCAATTGAAAATTATTTTTCACCATAATATGTGATCAACTTTCCATTTTGACCAGATTTAGATAAATGTACAGCTGCATTCACCAAAGTATGTCATACCTGCATGACGTGTTATCCCCAAAGCTAGGTGTCCTGGGTCGCTTCCTTGGACCTATTTTTTCCAATTGCGCTCTTCTTCCTGGGACCTTTACACAAATAGGATCGTCAGATTTAATGATTAATGGTCAAAAATACAATACATTTCTCGGAAAAACTATTTTTCAACAATATATTTTTTTTCCTTCTTAAAGGCCCACTGCACTACTGGAAGCTACTTGCGCCCTCTATAGGGCTCTCATAGGGAATTCGACACCCTTTGGGTGTTAACTCAATAACAGGTGTTGTCAATTACCAGGATTAGCATCCAGTTTTATGACCAAAATGCTTTGTATCCCCCACCCCCTCCGCATGGGAAAGTCATTATCTTACCTTTCCTATCAGCCGAAGGCTCTCTAGCTAGGGGTATTTTTTGGTGGGACCATGGGTTTGTTCTGTGCAAAACTAGTTTCCGGCGAAGGCTGGTGTCGGCAAAAGTTGAACTTCTGCACATGGAAACTGACCACGTTTTAACGCGTATTCACGTTTTTACGCATTTGCACATCCCAAAGCAGGATATATTGACCTTTTACTGGACGGTCATCCGGGAACTTTTCACAAGCCGTGACATATTAAAATATTACAGCATCAGAGTACTTTTACTGAAAGCACAATATATGACGAGTTTTCTGGTTAACTCAAAACCTTTCATTCAAATAACTATATGTGATATCATAATAGCTGAGTAAATATGTGTAGATAGAGGCATATCGATTTTAGTACCGAGATACCCAGGAAAAACAAATGAACTCACCATATTCTCCGAATCCTGCACTTGCATCGCGGTCATCGATCCTTCCTGTGGTAACTCCTGTACCATGTCTACGAGGCCTTCCACATTAGTTTTATATATATATTTTTTTAAGAGAGGGAAAATGAGAAGGCGTTTTAACTGGTGAAATTTACCATTTTAATCAGCGCGAGTCACTTAAAGCCTACTTGTATAGCTACCCGATAGCTACTTGCTCCCTAGAAAACAATGCCTAATCGCGGACCCCCATGATCCTCTTTTTCTTATGTTATTTGAGAGCTGAGTTGATGAGATAACCACCTGTGTAGTGACCTTGCAGTGTGTTCTAATCCCTCCTATAAACTAGTACAGATAAGCTTTGATACACTTTAAACATTTCTCCGTTAGTCTGTAGACTATCTAAAATGATTTTTTTTTTGGTTTACTAGCTTTACCCTGCATATCTGACTGGTTTGAAGTTTGAGATTTTATGTTTGAAGTGTATTTGTTCCACATTTATATTACAAACAATTTATACAAGCGATAACAAAAAAAAAACCGCAAGATAGCTTAAAGGCCCACTGCACTACTTGCAGCTACTTGCGCCCTCTATATAACAAACAATGCCTAATCGGTGACCATTGCTCACCCATGATCCTCTTTTTCTTATGTTAACTGAGAGCCGAGTTGATGAGATAACCACTTGTCCAGTGACCTTGCATGGCAGTCTAATCCCTCCTATAAACTATGGCAGATAAGCTTTAACTCAAGTATGAAATACGGTAATAAATAAAGTTTTTCGTGGGGGGGGGGGGGTAAGGATAAGCTTGTACAGTGAGGAGCTGATATATGAATAAAGAATTGTCCACAATTAGGCTTCTCTAAAGAGTAGTATTATTAGGCCTTATTAATATTTAGTCAAAGGTGAAAAGGGAAAATAGTACCAAATACAAATAACAAACAACGAAAGCAAATCTCGGTGTAGCGAAACAAAATAAGAATGAAGAAGAAGAAGGGGCTTAAAAGAATTAGATTGCAAATAATTTTCCATCTTTGGTTTAGCTCTTTATTTCAAAATGCACTTCTAAATTGGTCAAAATGATCACCTGCTCTAGGTTCTTGCTCCTGAAAATGATCTGAATCACCCGAGTTGTTCACGGACTTCCACACTTCCCTCAGATATCCGTCGGCAAGGGAGACGGAATAATGCAAGCCTTTCCAATAGCGGACCATGACAATAGCAGCTTTTTGATTAGGGGTAACCCCATCCTCTTCAGTAATTCGGCCAGGCTCCTTATGTTGTCTGCTTCTGAACTGGATGCTGTCAAGTACATGGTAGGACATACCCAATGCAAGACCAAGGTTGTAGTACTGATCAGTGTTCATCTCTTTTGTGATGAATCCCACACTCCGAATATCTCCGATGCTATATATAAACAGTAATGCAGAGCGAAAGTATAACAAAAAATAATGCCGTTATTTCACTGAATAAAAAAGCTAGATAATTTAATGACACAATATCCAAGCCAGTTCCCAAATATTAGATACTGCCTTCATCGTATACCACCCGAAGATTTTCTTTTCTCAAACGAAATAGTTCTCAGTGTATGACTTGAGTACTACGTTTACTTTATGCTTCAAAATTATTTCTTTTGGATTATTCTCTATAAGTTCTTTCTATATTACATTGTAATTCATGATTTATTTTATATCGTCAATATAGGGTTAATGCTAACATGGTCGAAATGATAATTTTGCCTTCTGTAAACATATATTCCACTAAATAAACGAAAACAAAAAGATTGTTTTAAAGGGTTACGCAAAGGAAAACAGCAGTGCTATATGATAATAAAAAACAAAGTAGGATGAACTTACAACAAAAAATGTCTATGCAAAATGTTTTTTCCTGAGTATTTTACCTGAGTTTGATATCAGATCTAGGGACCATCTCATCTAGGTTAGAGTGAATATCTGTAGAGAATCCGTGGAGGAAAAAATAGATTTTCCGGTCAATTTCGCAACTTTGCCAACCCAGTCCAGTTTGCGTGCAATCATTTTAGCATGATTTAGCCCTGTAATTCAATTCGATGGTTCAACATCGTCATCTGTGCATATAAAATCGCACTTTAATTAGATGAACATGTTTCTCATTCAATTTCATGATTTTTGTCACTTTTGTTCGAGCGTTGATCCAATTTTGCCTGGCGTGATTACGGGACACTTTTTACTCTGGTTCGTAAATTCAAATTCATTTCGGTGCAACCCATTTAGCATCTCGTAGATTCAAATTAGTCCAAGTTCTTAATAATTCCTTTTTTTTTTCGTAAAGCAAAATGTCTTTTGGATACTTTAGTATGAATTTGTCCGAATTTGCTTAGAATTTAAACGTAATTCAATTTATTTTATGAATTTAGGTGCAGGTTATGAGAGTAGATGTCATGAAAGGATTTTTTACAGACGAGAAATGAATTCTTTTGTATAAGAACTGGCAGGAAATGTACTACTCAAAGGTCATGTAGAGGTAGTCAAGCTTATGAGGCATTTTTGCATAAATTTGCAATCTGGTTTATGCTATTGCACGTGTCGGGTTGCCCATTGAATGTTTCTTTTTGATAATTGTTAACCTGTTGATATATAAATATAAATATCTTGCATACCTTGAATGGTTGGATGTTAATGACCCGGGCAAGGCAAGTGGATAAAGGGAGGTTGTTGAAAATCAGCAGAACCATTCAACTTAGTGCTAGAGCGTAGACGTTATGCACGAGCTATATACCCGGTCGCTCATAAAGTTGGATTTTTTTAAAACCCCAATTTATGGAATTATTTTGACAATGATTTATTCCTAATAGATCTAGATAATAGTATATATTCTCAGAGGTTATTGAATGATAATTTGCCAGTGTTTGTTTTGCGTGACTGCTAAAGCATGTGTATGCTACTGTGCTTATCAACTATATAGGGAACCTACGCCCTTAAGTCATAAATGTCACAAAAGGGCACTAATATAGCACATCGACACGGTTTTGATCCTGGGGCCTCACAGTTACGAGTCCATTGCTTTGCCACTGAACCACGACTGTACGCAGCGGGGCTAGGGTAGGTGGAAGTTCCCACAAATAAAAAAAAATAAAAAATGCAATAAATTATCAATAATTCATTACATTTTACCCCGGTTCCAACATAAAACAAATCCTCTTTGTGCCCATGCATTATGGCTCAAGGGTGTAGATTTATTCCTTACAGGGTGTGGAATCGATCACATAGGGTATAAAATTCAACCCCCAACGGGTGTAAATTTGAACCCATTTTTCATGAAAATGAACCAAAAGGTGTTAGTTAAGCACCACTGGGTGCAAATTTCACTCCTTAAAGGGAGTAAAATCATAACCTTGGGGTGCAAATTTACACCTTCTTGTGGGGTATAATTTCACTCCCTACATTGCGGAGTAAATTTACTCCCTGAGGGGTGTCACTTATGCGACAAGTATTTACTCCCTATAGGGAGTAAATTCAAACCTCTTTTTCTCTGTGTGTAGGGCAAGGCAAGTCGAGAATTATGTGGGTTGTGCACTGGTTGGTGCACCATTGGTTGAGTCAGAGAGTGATTTGCATGTGGAAACACTTGGTATGGCATAATGGTGAAGGTGGAGCGATGTTGGATGATATGTCAGTGGTGTCGGGTAGATTGTTTCCTCTGAATACGCCTGTGTCCGTATTTAAAGACTCTGGGTGCATTACAAGTGTGGTGAGAACGAGTTTGATGATGGACGATCAGTTCACGGGAGTAGTCCAGTTAGTTAGACTAATCGACGGTACTCTAAGGCATTTTCCCAGGGCGAAAGTAATAGTTGATAGTCCCTATTTCACTGGAGAAAACGACGCCTTGTGTATGCCAAACTGTCTGTGTGACGTCATTATGGGTAATGATGTGAAGGGGGCACATGACCTCAAAGATCCTGACTTGAAAACACAGCAAACACATCAAACACAACAAATCTCTGTAATGTTTGTATAAACAATGTTTTCTAGAACCAATCATACCTGACGAGAGATGCAGAAAATTGAATAATATTGTTTTGATACTGATGTTACTGTTAAAGAATGGTCACTCCTTTATGAAAAAACCTTTTTAAATATACAATTGAAACTACACTGTATTCCTTCTATTTCAAGATATTCCATGAGGCTAAACCCATTAATTATTTATATTATATTCATAATTCATTATATGGTTTATCGATATAAGATAAATTGATCTGATAATAATTGATGTAGTCTGTTCAATGAAATACCTAATTCCAGTGCTTTATA